GGAAGCAAATCACCAAGGATTGAAGAGTGTTTTGAAGGTGTCTTAGTGCCCTAGTTTTATATTTTTCAACAATCAAGTTTCTATCGCCTGCTGCTTGGATTCTGTGTTTTCCTCTCAGAGTCCTATATTCCAGCAGAACAGGAAAGCAGCTCTGCAGGCTCACAGAGTGGTGGGCTTTCCTTCCCTCATAGCAGCACCTCAGCTGCTAATGACACAGACTTTTTCACTATGTTTGTTTCCTGCCATTCCCTATCCATGTAACAACAGCAGCAGGTGACCCAGTCAGAGCAGCACAGATCCTAAGGAACCTGCATGGATTTTCTGCTCAACTCCTTCCTGGAGGCACAAGTGCTCCATGGAAACACTAAAACATCAGCAGAAATATTACATGGTTCCTAGTATCTGCCATCGAGGGATCTCAAAGTGCTGAAAAAACGCAAATATAAATCTGCAATTGTATTTTGTCTCACTTGGGAAAGTAAACACTAATACCAGGTTGTTTTGTTTTCTTCCTTATATTTAGGCAGAACCTTCCTACCCAACATTTCATACCCTAGCTCAGGTCACCTGAACTTGAGTTTCTAAATGCAGTGATAAACTGCAGGATGTTTTTCTGAGTTACTTTCATTTATTGTCATTTTTTAGTACCTTTGTTCTTTGTAGTTGCTGTTTATAGTATCTTGAGCAGAACATGCTGTGTGGTGTAAGGTGCTGTCCTCATTGATCTGAAATGATTGTACCCTAGTAAGTACCTTGGATCTCTTGTGTAAAGCTGAGACTGTCCTGGGGTTTGAAAACAGTTACCATAGACTTGGGGCAAGTGTGTGATTTGAAATCTGACTGTAGGGACAGTGACAAAGCATTGCTCCAAACTGGGACTTCAGATGTAACCTACTGAGGAGCACTGTTTAGCTCTGCAGCAGAATTACATTCACTTATTTCAGAGCAGTGGCCATGTAAGTTATTCTTCTAAGTTATTTAAGTTGTTTGAAAAGGATGTTCTTGTTTTTTAAAGACTTCACTTAGAGAAGAGATTGATATAATTAAATAGGGGACAATGGTTCTATAGATTTTCCAAACCTCTGAGAGCTCTATCCTTGTCCTGCAGTATCCACCATGTGTGTACTTACATGTACACACACAAGAATTTGTTTTTAAACAGTTGTTCCCTATAGTGCATTCAGTTTTATTTAAAAGTATTCGATCAATATTTCCACGTTTTAGTAGTTATTTTTCATAATACCCATTTCCTGCCTTCATTTTCATGCTCAATCATCATATGCAACTTAGTGTACAGGAATTGTGGGAATGCTGCTGTATAACATCATTTTCAAAATTATGTTTGCAATAAAGAACGTGCCTTCTGTAGATTCACCTACAAATATCTCGGGGCCATAGACGCAGATGCATATTCAAGTACTTAATGCTTTAATTTTGAAGAGGATTTGAAGGCAAATTCCAGCTGTTTCCTGCAAGCTCTCCTGGCTGCCAGCAGAGAGCGGTGTCGACCCATCCCATGTAGCCTCATCCACGTATCGCGGGGATTTCCACAGCCAGAGAGAAAATGAAAACTAATCTTATTTGTGTGTGTGTGACAAGACTGTAATCTGGG